CAACTGAGCTACAGAGAAACAGTTGTCGAGCTCTAACCAACTGAGCTACAGAGAAACAGTTGTCGAGCTCTAACCAACTGAGCTACAGAGAGACAGTTTTCGAGCTCTAACCAACTAAGCTACAGAGAGACAGTTCAACATCAAACAAAGATTTTCTATATCATGATACTACGTCATATTTTGATACTACTACGATGGAAAAAAGGACCAAACAAAAAATCTCGAAAACAATAGCAATTGACTCAAGGCATTACCTTTTTGGCCAAGTTGTTAGGGTCATAACCTAGCAATGTCAGAAACTGTTTTCTCGGTTCGCCTTCAAAATTCACCTAAAAAGATGAAAGAAAATGTAATTATATGTTAGTCCATACGAAAACTGTTTAGTTTAGTTTAGGTTTCCTCCTGTAGTAACACTGGAACAACAAAAGATGATCCTTACTGGACCTCTAGGAAGAACAGCTTAGAACTGATAGAGCTTTCCAGCATAAACAAAGTGAGTTTAGTTTAGGTTTCCGCCTGTAGTAATACTGGATCAATAAGAGATTATCCTTACTGGACCTCAAGGAAGAACAGTTTAGAACTGATAGAGCTATCCAGTATAAATAAAGTGAGTTTAGTTTAGGTTTCGTCCTGTAGTAACACTGGATCAATAAGAGATGATCCTTACTGGACCTCTAGGAAGAACAGTTTAGAACTGATAGAGCTATCCAGTATAAATAAAGTTAGTTTAGATTAGGTTTCCTCCTATAGTAACACTGGATCAAAAAGAGATGATCCTTACTGGACCTCTAGGAAGAACAGTTTGGAACTGATAGAGCTATCCAGTATAAATAAAGTTAGTTTAGTTTAGGTTTCCTCCTGAAGTGACACTGGATCAATAAGAGATGATCTATACTGGATCTCTAGGAAGAACAGTTTAGAACTGATAGAGAGAGTGTATTCTAACGTACCTTCAAGAAACTCCATAAAGTTGAGTCCAGGTCGTCGTCGCCGCTCTCAATCTTGGTGTGACAAAATTCAGCAAAACTGCCCGACGCCAAAGCGCCCTCCAACAAGTTCGATCGGTTCACTAGATCCTGTTCCGTAACCACTTGACTTACATTGATCTGAAACATGAGCGAGTTTTACTTAAACGAACGGCCTAGCATTACTTAATTCACAAGTATTAAAATATGTGCTGGTTGATACAGTTGATTAACAGACCTTTTTGGAAAATGCTAATTCACTTAAATGTATTGTTTTTCAAATCTAAAAGTCAACCGTGAAATTCTGAAACACTATGCCTTTTTGTTGTAAAACGGAAACGTCGTTCTACTGCATGTAAACTTGAATTTTACTTTTAAAACAATACGATACGATCTATAAGTAGACGTATTTACAACGCTAAAGCCGAAACTAGTGGCAAACTGTCAAAATATTACAACAGAAAATAATACATAATTGTCGCAGCTACTGGCTAGAACTATACATTAACAAGTGTCTATTGAATTTTCTTCAAATTGATTTTTACCATCGTTATGAAAATTTATTTTATTTGTATTCTTCAGTTACAGTAGGTTTGTCCGCTTAAAAGACGTTATTCCGCTCATTGGGACCGCAAGTACAGTGTCCGCTTCCGCTTAGAGTGCACCTAACCTACCGTATGTAAAAAGTTCTTTTATCGTTTCATTCTTCAGAACTTCTGAAATGATTTTCTGTGTTGGTGTAATGTACTCAGGTGAATATGATTTTTGTGATGTTACTCTGAGTGTATATCCACACCGGAGAAGCTTGAAAAATATGCCTGGCCACGGTGGAAATCGATCATCCGACCTTTGGAATACTAGCCCAATGCTCTGCCAACCGAGCTACGCGGTCAGGTCGGTTCGATTACGTGATCTTTCGGAACTGAGTCTAGTTCCTTCGACATCAATGTAATCTAATAATCATGATATTCTTATCATCACCATCATGATTATTAGATTACATTGATATAGAAGGGACTAGACTCAGTTCCAAAATATCACATACTCGAACCGACCTGACCGCGTAGCTCAGTTGGCAGAGCATTGGGCTAGTATTCCAAAGGTCGTAGGTTCGATTCCTGGGGTGTGGATACAAATTTTCGTTAGCTCACTTTGTTTCTGAGATATTTCTGTTTGTTTGGAATGCGAATATCTGGAATTTACATCACAAATGCATAATGATTTAAAGTAAAAGCTTGTATATCGTATTCACTATCGAGTTTAAATCATTATAATAAAGTTTGGAGTTGTGGGAGGATTACATACCTATGTAAAACACCATTTAGCCTTTTTATTTCATGATATTTAACTGTACCTTACATTCTTTGATCAGTCATTATTCATATGTGACGTAAATTCGGGACATTTGCATATCAATAAAACTGAAATAACTCAGAGACAAAGTGTGCAAACGAAAATCTTCAAAATAAGTTACAATATCATTTCAAAGGTTCTTAGGAATGAGATGTTAAAAGAATTGAAGTTTGGTGCACTAGAAGTATCCGTTGAATACTCGTAATGATGGTAGTACATGATTGTAGTAAAGAAATCATTGGGTCGGTGGGATGTGCCCGTTTGACTGTAACTCGATATTGACACACTGTTACCTTTGAAATCGGTGCCTCGGCTGTTTTTCCAAACGAAATCAGCTTGCCACCAAACTATAAACATATTTAAAAAACTCATTAATAATTCAGGAGCAAAACACAAAGAAAAATCATAAGCGTGTCGTGGTTTTATGTGTGATAAAAAATCACGTTAATTTACATAAACTTTAGCTTTGATTTTCTCGGTTTAGACAAAGTTTATTTTAAAAATTACTTCGCCAATGAACTCGTATAAGATGAATCGTTTTTTAAGCTATTTAAAGCATTTGTATTCGTGTTTTATCACATATAAAACACTCCGCTACGCGTCGTGTTTTATATGTGATAAAACACTCCTACGCGTGCTTTAAATACTACTTAAAATGTATTGTTTTAAAATAATGTAATAAAGCAGCAAGCTCCGGGCAACAGGCCTGCCGATCATTATTTTCTTTGGAAGGACAAAATGTCAGACCTTAGACGAAGAGTGGTTGGATATTTATCAGTTTATGTTGGATAATGGTCAAATTCATGATGTGCATCGGCTGGTGATGTTGGTTTGCACTGCTATGCATCTAAAACTCAATTGACATGTACACTACCAGTACTAGTTAGAGAGGTTAAGATACCCTGGTTCCGGTTTACGGGTGATATACACGTACCCGTAAATCGGGGAACGACTTGTAACTTAAGAAATCCAAGATGCTCCGGCGTAAGAAAACCAATCAGAGAATGGCAACTTTCGCTGTTAAAGTTCGCCATATATTTTTAAAAACTTTGACAAACATATGTGCATTATTTATTTGGGTAAGATGTTGAAAATGTTTACTATTTAAACGGCCCACAAATAGTAAACAGAAAACACCCGTACCCGTTTGTCTTTTACGTGTAGACCATGGATTACCGCGGGGAAACGGGTAGAAATTACGGGTAAAAATGCTGACATCAGCAGAAATTGGTTGACAAAATGGCGATACTCGTACCCGTAAACCGGGGGTATCTTAACCTCTCTATTATAAATGAAAAAGTGCTCTTACCCCAAATGAAGCGCCACATGGTCTCCTCAGCCATTTGGGAGGTTTCTTGAGAGTGGACGCCGCGGGAATATGATCAGAGGTCTGGTGCTGAACTGATGCTGTGAATGAATCATTTATATTGAAGGAATCGTTTACCATCTAGGAGAAAAGATCGAAATATCAAGTCCACCATCACAACTAGAGCTGTGCGGTTCCAAAAATTTTATCTCGGCTCCGTTTTTTTTGGAACAGAAAAACCTCGGTTCGGTTTCGGTTATTTTCAAAATAAGAAGAACAGTACAAATGTATGAACTCATTTATGTATGTTTCGAGCATTTTTACTAAATAGATGAATTTATGCCTTTGTAAGTTTGTATAAATCTCTGAATATTTTAAAAGAACAATTGGAATTTTTTTATTTATTTATTTATTAACTTTATAACCATACATAAAATAGACTAAAACACTACATAATATGGTTGAAGGTATGGTCAACAGGACATGAATAGCCCCATGTGAAGACCAACCTTAATGAAAACAAACTATAACAAACATAAATCAAAGACGATAACAAATATAAAATTTACAGAAAACATGACGAATTACGAACAACAGCTTAAGTTGAAAGAGCGGCACTTAGAACAGAAGGTTTTCCAAGTACGCATTCTGTTTACATCGAAAGATGAATAATTATAATAATTTATTTATGAAGATGTAATATTTCTTAGTTTTTAAAAAAATTTAAATCAAGTTCACAGCAATAACTATCACAACTAAAATATCAACTATTTGAACACTTAGTACAGTGCATATTGTGCACAAAGAGCACGATCTTGTTATTTTCCAAACATTTCAACCTGCAATCAGGTGGGCGTTTGGCGGGCGTTAAACGGGAAATTAAAACCGAAACTATGGCCCTGTTCACATGATCCCGGGATAAACAACTGCCCCGCGACAAGTCATTGACCCGGGATACTGATATCTTCTGTTCACATGAACAAAGCTAGCGCGGGTCATGCCTATAAATACATTACGCGGGAATCATAAAATATTCCCGCCAACGTGAAACGGTGAAATATTGCTAAATAAAAAACATTCTGATAAACGCAAGTCGTATTTTATGTTATGATATTTATAAATAGAACGTAGTTGATTATCAGCCGTAGTAAAAGGTCCTCAATTCCCAAGAATCCTCACTTATAGATTTCTAATGATATCTTCAATCAAATAACAAGTTTTGTGGAGTCCAACGTGCTCTAAATGTAATTTTAGCCGCGATTTTGATCGTTTTAATAAAAATTCAATTATCCCGGGACAAAGTTCCCCCGGGGCAAAGTGTTCACATGAGGAAAAGTTGTCCCAGCAAGGCGAGTGTCCCTGTCTACAGAGGCGAGGCACTCGGGTCAATTCTTGTCCCAGGACAAGTAAAATATCATGTGAACAGCACTATTCTTTTACTAAGGAGCCGAGACAATTTTTGTCCCGCGACAATTGCTTGCCCCGAGACATAACGCTGTCCCGGGTTCATGTGAACAGGGCCTATACCGGTTCTTTTGCGTATAATTTTTCGGTGCTGAAAAAAGTACCGGAAGAACCGAATTTTTCGGTTAACCGCACAGCTCTAATCACAACAATCGCCATTTATCATCACCACCATCATCATTAAAATCACCATCATCACCACTCACCTTCTGGTCCACACCACTATGATCAGCCACACCACCACCCATCAGAGAGTAAACACTAATATGACCATCGAATGATGGCGTGCAGATCATATTAGGATTTCGTGGACACCATTTCACATCAAAACTCCATTGAGCTGGACATGGTAACTCGTACACAACCTTGCGAACAAAATATCATGTTCAGAAAACACTTTAGTCAATATTTTAAATTCAGCCTATTTGAGAACTGAGAACATATATGTTCAATATAGTCATGTTGTCTGATAACAAATACCCTATACAGTACCTCGCCTCGGGGATCATTACTGCTTGGATTCCAGCACAAGATTCGGCTGTCCTAAAGAAAAAGCACACATGCATGATTAGAATAAATGTTAACAGATGAAACTGGTAAAGTATTTATACGAACAAGAGTTGCCGCATGAGAGTTGAGAAGCGAGAGTTTACAAGAGAGTTTTCTCAACGTTCATTGCTTGATCAAACGAGAACAAGAGTTGCATGAGAGTTGAGAAGCGAGAGTTTACATGAGAGTTTTCTCAACTTTCATTGCTTGATCAAACGAGAACAAGAGTTGCATGAGAGTTGACAAGCGAGAGTTTACATGAGAGTTTTCTCAACTTTCATTGCTGATCAAACGAGAACAAGAGTTGCATGAGAGTTGAGAAGCGAGAGTTTACATGAGAGTTTTCTCAACTTCATTGCTTGATCAAACGAGAACAAGAGTTGCATGAGAGTTGAGAAGCGAGAGTTTACATGAGAGTGTTCTCAACGTTCATTGCTTGATCAAACGAGAACAAGAGTTGCATGAGAGTTGACAAGCGCTGGTTTTACATGAAATACAACAATAGGCCTTCTGGCAGGAATCAAACGAACGTCTGTCAGTGTGTTTCTTACCTTGCCACAACTCATTAGAAGTTCTGGATCTTGAGGACACCACGCAATTGACAGGACACCTCTGAAATGGACACCAATTGATATCAACAATAGTAAAATATTTTCAGGTTAAAAACAAGCCATAGTACAACATAGTGAAATCACGAATGAACAGCAACTGTTCCCTGCATGTAAATTCCATTCACTAGGTTCCCTTTAATCGAAAAGAGTAAGACCGGGGGCCCGTTTCCGGCACTGTTTCAGGTGAGTTTCCAGGTTAGCTGGGCTCACAGGAACAAGCCTTTACATAAGGAAACAATTCTGAACAAATTGTTGCTAGCAATTTTAAACAAACCTTTGATGTTTCTCGAGAACTTTCATTGGCGAGGTCGCGTATCTAAGATCCCACATCTAAGAAGAAAAATAGAATGTTAGTTTTCCTTTAAAGGAAAATGGCAATAGATTTTTTTTAATTTCTCGCTCAAAAGAACATTTAAAACCATTTAAAATACTCATTAATAATTCATAATCCTTGTGGCAAATCATGTCAGCCATAATATGTCACGTGGAGTGACTTTATATCTGATAAAACACATGTGGCATTATATAATTGTTCATCCTAATTAGCATGATTATACTATGGTTCATCCTAATTAGTATTCTTTTGTAGTCGTTGTCGTGTTTTATCAGATATATAACGCTCGGCTGCGCCTCGCATTTTATATCTGATAAAACACTCCAACTCGTGTTTTAAATAGTACATATAAAACTCTTTTACCGTTTTTTCATATCTTGCTTACTTCTACAAATATTTTAATCGAAAGGAATGAAATGTCGGCCATCTTCAATTTTTGTAGATATGCATGTTACGTCACAACAGGGGTCACGCAAATATTTTTATCTAAACAACCACCAATCATTTTGCACTTAAAACTATACTCTGTCTGCCCTTCGAAATATCAAGATCACTCAAAACCTTTAAAACATCTACCAATCAATATTTGCTCAGCAACGAGTACTTTTATATGGTTAATCCCTGTTGTAACGTCACCAAAACTACCGTTAATGAGATCAAAAATTTATCCAAGATGGCGGACATCTTATTACTTCAACATAGTTCAAGTGAAAATATCCAAGAACAAAGCAAGATATGAATAATCGAACAATTACTTTATGGTTTCCGTGTTTGGATGACCTGATCCAAACACGCGGGAATGTTGCGAGAATGTCGAGCAACATTCCCAAGTGTTTGGATCAGGCCATCGAAACACGGAAACCATAAATTAATTGTTTTATAAAATAACAACAACACGACAGTCTTCCGTGTTTGGATGGCCTGTTATATACATGTTATTTTATAAAAGAAGTTAATATATAGTTTCAAAAGTTCTTTCGAATGAGAAAATAAAAAAAAATTTACTACCATTTCCCTTTACCACTTCTGTGACATGAGTTTGATAACTGCTTGTGCAATTTTCTGCAGTCTAAAGTTTCATGTTGTCTGCACATGTACTTTCTGTGGAGACATCATTTGCCTCCTGACAAATCGCAAAATGATCAAGATAGTGATTGATTTAAATATTGTATTGACATATGACTGTTGACATTGCTTTTTAGTCTTCAATATTTGAGTGAGTCATGCTTTGGAAATAACAATAAATTTTTATTACCCAACCCTTGAGTTGTTTTGTTTTTCATTTACCCAACCTTTTACTCAGGGCCGCAGAGAGGGGGGAAGGGGAGCAAATTGCCCCGAGGTGCTGGGGGCCCCTGAAAAATTTTTTTGAGGGCCCCAGTCTTTTTTGTGTGTTAAATATTTCCGCGCAAAGGACAAGATATCTATTTTCTTCGGCTAAGTACCGAAATTTGGCATAAAAAAATGAGATAACGTCCCTGGAAAGCAATTGCAACGTACTCGTCCGGAAAAATTTTTACTCCGGAAAAAATTTTTTTACCCCTAAAATGGTACACTGACCGGGGGGGAGGTTGTTCTCCGGAAAAAAAATTTTAGATAGGGGGCCCCCAAAAAAATTTCTCGGCGGCCCTGCTTTTACTGTTTTACTCATTTAAAATGAAAGGTTTTTGTAGACGAAACAAATTTATAAACAAGCTGAAAATAAAAACCCCACGGCTTATAGAAAATGAATTATTACACACGCGGGTATGAGGTTCATTCTAACCTGGATAACAGGACATCTATCGTCTTCAGACGCCAGGACCATCTGTGTGGCGACCTCGGGATGCCACTCGACAGCTTTGCAACGAGCCTATACATACAAACATATCTTATAAAAATGTGATTTGGGGAATCTTGTGCAATTATAGAACTAATGGTACAATGGATGGTTTTTAAATTCACATTAATCGACCTAAACGGACATCATTAGTATAGATATGGTATTAATAGTATCGTTCAGAGACGAATTTTCATATTTTCGTTCGGGGGGGGATAAATATCTTGGGGGGGGGTGCTGCTGCTTACTTTGGCCGGAGCGTGGTGGCAACGCCCGGAAAGGCCAAGGAAAAAGTTTAACAAAATTTTTTTCTAGGCCTGCATGGCGAGATCTGAGACCATAATATTGGTATTTTACAAATTTAGTAGTAAGAATAATCAAATATGAAACTATCAAATCAAAATATATATAATTTGCGGGGGTGCAAAAACTTTTGGGGGCGGTGCCAAATGCCTCTGG